AGAGAGAGAGAGCTCTGATAAACAGAAGAAGAAGAAGAGAACGCGATGAGCTGCTCTGCTTGCGGGGGCTAAAAAAAAACCCTTCTTTTCGCCACTCTGCTCAGCACACCAATCTCTCTCTCTCCTCTCTCCCGCTCTCTCTCTCTCTCTCTTCTTTTCTTTTCTTTTACCTTCTATATTTATAAATTTTCCCTTTTATAAAAATAAATTACAATTTTGTTTAGAATAAATAATAAATTACAACTTTTTTTTAGAAATAATTGATAATTTAATGTTTTTCCTTCTTCCCCCTTTCTTTATTAGGGAGGGGATTTCAAACTCATGAACTTTTTGTTATAGATATATGTTAATTACGCGCTATGCTCGTTTTAGCTAATATTTTTCTTCTAAATTGTCTATTTTAAACTATATAATTACATTATTCAAGCATACCATAGCTCAATTAATTAAGGTAATAATATCACCGATTGAATGATAGATTCGAATCTCCATCTCATATTTTGTTCTACTAAAAAGAAATGAGTATGTATTGTTTGATCATTGGTGTACTTATTTTTAATTATCTAAAATAGCTCATTTTTAGAATGATAGAATGGTGACATTTTCTTTATTTTGTAGATTGTTTTTCTGAGATTGATATTTTTTTCAATTTTTTTTTGGTACAAACTCAAAATAAAATTTCCACTCTCACTTTTTTCTCTCGTGATCTTTTTCTATAGATGTATTGGTTACATTAATTATTTAAAATAGTAAATATTATAATTCCTAGATTTTCATATAAATATGTAATTTAAATATCTTTATTGACAATAATTATCAGCATAATTAATTAAACTTTTAAAAAAACATCATTTTTTTCACTGAAAAATATTGATTTTGACAATTAAATAAATTATATTTCGATTTATTATTTATATTTAAAATTTAAAATTACCATCTTTTGACAATGATTAGGAATATCGGTTATTAGCAAACATGAGTTTACTGCGGCAGTTAAAATACTAAATATATATATATATATATATATATATATATATATTAGTCACTTAAACTCAACGTTTTAGTTTTGAAAAAAATGTCTTTCTTTTTTAAAATTGGCTAGAAATTCGAAATTATTTTTAAGAAATATATTAAAAGGCAAAAAGTTAATAAAAAAACACATTAATTGCATTGCTTGTTTAATTGGCAAATATTTAATTTTTTAAGTAAAGTTGATATCTATAATAATGACGAGTTTTACTGTTGGGATAAATTAAAAAAATAAAAATTAAATCGTAAATGAATTCAAATTATGTTTTTTCTTCAAATATTTTCCTTGTTCCAAAAAGTTCGAATTTGTAAGAATTTTAAGTTTAAATGTAACAAATTGTTATTTTACCTTATTTTGATGAAAAAAATACTTAGCACTCTAACACACTTTATTCTCAAATCATCAATCAATCTAGTTTCAAAATTTAATGAGTCGTTGTAGTTTTTTTTAGTATTATTATTCGAATATCTGTAAATTGACTCTACCTACGTCTTTTTTTTCCTTCAAACAAACTAAGGTTTATTTTCTATCTTGTTATTAATATATTTTATTTTCCTTGTTTTTCAATATTGTTTTGATATTTATATGTTTATGTTTTTTTTTTAAGATTTTTCTTATTTTTTTCCTTTTGCTTTTGTTTTAAATAACTATAATAATATATATATGGATATGTGAATAAACTTAAATTGTTGGTTTAAATTTTTGTTTTTAAATAGTTGAATCAAGACATTTTCAAATTTTCGTTCTTAGTTTAGTTTTCAAAATAAAGATAATATTTTCAAGTTTTAATTTTGTTAGGTTCATTTAATTAAATTATTCATGCTAGTTTATATTAAAATATTATATTATTAATAATATAATATCCTACAAAATATTAAAGGATATAGTAGTAAAATGTTATATTTTATTTTTATTTCTCCAAAGCCATTTCATCATTTAAAATTTTGAAATTTAAAATAATGTCCTACCCATTGCAAGATACCAAACAGAGTTAAACTAATATAAAATTCCATATTTGTTTAAGGATAACTTTCTCAATTACTTTTATTCATACATGGTAATTTATGTACATCCAACATCAATACATCTATGATTTATACCTCTTTTTTACAAGACTTTATTGGTTGCTCAAATCAGCATTTTTCTTTTCGATCTTAGAATTTACTTCTCTGAAGAAAATATATTCATAATAGCATTCCTAAAGAATATCTATTTTAATTTTTTTTTTTTTTTTTTTTNACAAAAAATCCCTATTTATATTTAGATTTCCCGTGGGTAGCCATCGTCTCATTTTTATTTATTCATACTATATAAATAAATTTAATAATATTTCAATTTCTACTCACTCTGTTGTTTCTACTAGGTGATTTTGAATTTTTCCTTTCAACCAGGATTTCCAAAAAAGAAAAAAAATTAACTACATGGATAAAGATTTATAATTATATAAGAAAGTAGAGATGTATGATTTATAATTATAAATAGTTAAAAAATAATTATTCTATTAATAGATTATTTAAACTAATAATAAGTGTGAAATAATTTATTCAAATAACTTGATTCTATTAATTTTCGCGGGGAATCTCTATTTGTCTAACGTATTGTAACATATGTGAAAAATTAAAATAAAAGAAAGAGTTTATTTTTGCTCGAGGAGCCAAAAATTTATTTGCCGGGGCGGCTCTTGCCGTTTGAGTGTTTTTATTGTTGTTTTTTTTTTCTTTTTTTTTTAATATTTGTTCATCCTCAGGACCAAACAAAATAACTTTTTGATGTTTGACCCCACAGGAATGATAAAATAATAATTCCCAAAAAAGTAAAATGACCTTTTTATCCTTTTAAAAAAACAAAACAAACCAATTAATCTAAATTCAATCCCCAGCTCTCTAAGAGAGAAAACATTAATAACTTTTTTCATTACAATGATTAATTTGTTTTTGGAATGGTTACAACTTAGAATGATAATTCTACGGGTGTATTAGTATTAATATTTGGAAATTGTCGAGGAAGTTAACGTAAATTAAAACCTCCACAACTTATCGCATTTGTCCTTAAAAAACACGAATGATTAAACAGGGACGAAATTGGAATTTCAAAGTGAATATTCTTATTTGAAAAAAAAGTTCCAATGGGCGGTTTCGGCTGGAAAGCAATTCTTTTGTTAAAGAACGACGTCGCTTGGGGAGTGAAAAGACGTGGAAAAGCAAATAACGTTTTGCCTTGAGAAAAAGTAGGACCGCCGATGGGCTATCAGTACTTTTGAAGAGTCCCTCTTCTCAACAATTACAAAAATCATGTCCTTGTCACCAACATTAGACTAAAAATATATTGTTAATTAATTTAATTTAGTTTTTTTTTTAATTAAAAAAATTTACATGTACTAAAAGATAAAACAATATTTATACTTGTATCTTATATCAAATCCTACCTTATATATAATGATATACTTTATCCATAACATAAATATGATATATTAATTAATATATTTTATATTAGTGTATTAGCAATATACTTTATCAATCACAACAAATTATACAAAGAGACATATAAGAGGAAACTACTATATTTAATCTTTTTTATTTATAATATTTACAAATGACAATCAAATTTTCAATCTTTTATAATTTTTTAAAAATGAATGACAAATTATTGATACTTTTTTAGGGATAGTTTGTTTCGGAAATGTAAACATCCCGCATCTAAAGATGTCTAGAATTTCAGATACTTGGAGTTTTAGATGTCGATAGTCACGTTTGTTTTATAGGAAAATTTATAAGGATATTCGACATTATTTGAATAGACACGTTTGTTTGGTAGAATTTGTACATGGTATGCATTTAAATTACGTATTGTTCCAACAATACCCTCACTGGTCATCATATAATTTATATGTTAAATTTAATATTATTAGAATTCGTATAAAAAATTTACTTCTATTAATTCAATATTATATTTTTATGTCAATTCAGTGCTTATTGGAAAATTAAAATAAATAAAAGATTGCACACTAGATTTGAATTAAAAATTAATTAAGATATTATATGGCTAAAACTTATTTATAACTTAATGTATCATATAAATAAAATTGTATTTAGACATTTATCAAGCATACATTTGTATTTAAAATAAAATAAATGAGAAATAAATAATATTGATGAAAAAATATTATAGAACAAATATGATGAATCATGAAATTGTTAAAACAATATGTCATCAACATGAGAATCTTAAAAACTCTCAATAGCTCACATGCTTTATGTAGAGATATTGTAGGATGTCCATACATCTAAAAATATATAGATATCCAATATTCCTACCGAACAAACACCGGACTCTGGATATTCATCAAATTGAGAATCTTAGATTCATAAAAACAAACAGCCTAAAAATATTGAAAAAAAAAACATGGTAATTGTGATAACAAAACAATCTAAATGTGAAATAAAATATGTGATTTCTTAGATATTAAATGGTAGTGCACTAAATAAATAAATATATATATTATAGAATATGTATAATGTCTAGTTAGTGAGAAGTATTGTTTGATAAGATATATCTCGTAGTCAACATGAGTTTAGTTCAGCACGTTAAGATACCTAACTCCATTCGTAAAGTTGGTGGTCAGATTTCCATCCTCACAGTTGTTGTAATTAGAAAAAAAAAAAGATATATATCGTAATTTTCAATTGCGCGCACACATAAAATAAATGGTGGATCCACATAAGAGGCATCAACTTTTTTTTTCTTATTCTTTTATTTTATTTTAATTCATGTGAGAGTAGTAGCAGGTGCGACGATTCAACTCTTTTCATGATGAATATACGACTATATGTTATGAGGGAGAAGGGATCACAATAGTTCACCGTAGAATAAGAGATGAAATATGAGAGGAGGAGAGAGAAAGAGAGCGGGAGCAAGGGTGTGTTTTGGGAATAATTTTGGTAAGGTTAAAATTACTTTTTCGCATGGTAAAAATTACTTTCCTTCTCGATCATTGTGTTTGGCCCATTCTTAAAATTACTGTAAATTAATTTTTAAGTAAAAGCTTTTAACTTATTTCCCTTCGCTCTTCCCTTTCTCAATCTCCCGCTCTCGAGGTCTCTCTCTCAACTCAACGCCCAGCCGCCCTCCCTTCCCTCCACAGATATCTGCCGGCGACACCTCACTGCCACCGTAGGGGAGCCGCGGCGAGCTTCCCCCTCCGACGACGTGCGAAGGACGCCTCCTCACGAAACTCGACAAGTAATTGGCAAATTTACTTGTCAATTACATCCAAACGAAACTTGGGCAATTCACATTAATGTTTCAGGTAGGTTTAGTTTCACATTATTATTCAATCAGATTTCTAATATACTCGTCTCTATATATGCTAAGTGGCCGTGTTAATTCCTTCTTTATTGTGTACATTGATTTTGTAATTCTTTATCTATATATTTGTAGCATGATGACATCTATGACGCGTTGCTTATAAATTATTAGAAAGTATGCCTTCAGTTTCTATTTGTAATCTTGTAACTTTCATATGCATAATATGACTCAAGTTAGTTTTTTTATTTCATCATCTTACTATTCTATTGCATTCAGTATTAGAAGCAAGTAATGAATCTGTCGTGTAGGTTGATTTCTGTTTATTTCCTCTGTTTAAGTTCTAGATCCTATTTGTTTCACATTGATTTTAATTCATTTATTACTTATTATTAGTTTTATGAATCTCATCTTCGATTTTAAAATGGAATGGGAAAGTATTTCTCGCCTCCAAACGAAGAAATCGAAGGGGAAGCGACGGAATTAAGAGGCTCTCTGGAGTGCTGAAGCTGCGTACATATGATATGCAGAAACACTACCACTTCTGTGCTCCGAGATAAAAAATTCTTCCTCTCACTTCTTAATAAGGCCACTAAACTTCCTCAACTCCTCCAAACGCAAGCGCAGTTAATCGTCCACGGCATTCACAGTGATCTATCTACAATTACCAAGCTTACCCACAAGTTCTTTGACCTCGGGTCCATTCGCCACGTGCACGAGCTCTTTGTTAATGTCTGCAGACCTGATCTATTCATGTTCAATGTCCTTATAAGAGGCTTCTCGGACAATAACTTGCCCAAATCTTCGATCTCTGTCTATACCCATTTGAGAAAAAGGACTAATCTAAGGCCAGACAATTTCACTTATGCATTTGCTATATCAGCTGCTTCGAGGTTTGAAGATGAAAGGATTGGCACCTTGTTGCACGCACATTCAATTGTTGATGGGGTGGCATCGAACTTGTTTGTTGGGTCTGCAACCGTTGATTTATACTTTAAATTTACGCGCGCGGACTTGGCGCGGAAGGTGTTTGATGTAATACCTGAGCGAGATACGGTTTTGTGGAACACGATGATATCCGGGTTTTCTAGGAACTCATGTTTTGAGGACTCGATTCGTGTTTTTGCAGATATGCTTGACGTTGGGCTGCCATTTGATTCTACAACTTTGGCTACGGTGCTTACAGCAGTGACGGAGTTGCAGGAATATAGATTAGGGATGAGTATTCAATGTTTGGCTTCCAAAAAAGGGTTCCATTATGATGTCTACGTGCTTACAGGTTTGATATCATTGTATTCAAAATGTGGGGAGAGTGACAAAGGAAGGTCGTTGTTTGATCAGATTGGTCAGCCAGATTTGATATCTTATAACGCAATGATTTCTGGTTATACTTTCAATCATGAAACTGGGTCGGCAGTGGCACTCTTCAGGGAATTGCTTGCTTCCGGACAGGAAGTTAATTCAAGCACATTGGTGGGCTTAATTCCAGTTTTTTCGCCCTTTGGCCATCTGCAGCTTACTTGCTCTATTCAAACTTTAAGCACGAAGATTGGTATTGTTTCACAACCTTCTGTTTCAACTGCACTCACTACTGTTTACTGTCGACTAAACGAAATTCAATGTGCAAGGCAGCTGTTTGACGAATCTTCGGAGAAAACTTTGGCTTCCTGGAATGCCATGATATCAGGATACACTCAAAATGGGTTGACAGAGAGAGCAATTTCTCTTTTCCAGGAAATGATGCCTCAACTCAGTCCAAATCCTGTCACCATTACCAGTGTACTTTCGGCTTGCGCTCAGCTTGGAGCTCTAAGTATTGGCAAATGGGTCCATGGATTGATTAAGAGTGAAAAACTCGAATCAAATGTATATGTCTCAACTGCTTTAGTTGATATGTATGCAAAGTGTGGTAGCATTGCGGAGGCTAGACAGTTATTTGACATGATGGCAGAAAAGAACGTGGTAACTTGGAATGCTATGATAACTGGTTATGGTCTTCATGGATATGGAAAAGAAGCACTAAACCTCTTTAATGAGATGTTGCAATCAGGGACTCCACCGACTAGGGTTACTTTTCTATCTATCTTGTATGCTTGCAGTCATTCTGGCTTGGTGAGAGAGGGTAATGAAATTTTCCACTCTATGGTTAACAATTATGGTTTTCAGCCCATGAGCGAGCACTATGCTTGCATGGTCGACATACTTGGGAGAGCTGGACAGCTAAAGAATGCCTTGGAGTTCATCGAAAGAATGCCACTTGAGCCCGGCCCTGCTGTTTGGGGTGCATTGCTTGGTGCCTGCATGATTCACAAGAATACAGACATAGCCCATGTTGCTTCAGAAAGACTTTTCCAATTGGACCCAGAAAATGTAGGATACTATGTCCTGCTTTCAAATATTTATTCTGCTGATAGGAACTTCCCCAAAGCTGCTTCTGTCCGACAAGTTGTTAAGAAGAGAAAACTGGCAAAGACGCCAGGGTGCACTCTTATTGAGATCGGTAATCAACCATATGTTTTCACATCTGGTGATCAGTGCCATCCTCAGGCCACAGCCATTTATGCCATGCTAGAGAAGTTAGCAGGAAAGATGAGAGAGGCTGGATATCAATCGGAGACTGTTACTGCTTTGCATGATGTAGAGGATGAAGAGAAGGAGTTAATGGTGAATGTCCACAGTGAAAAATTAGCAATTGCTTTTGGGCTCATTTCAACTGAACCTGGAACTGAAATTAGGATTATCAAGAACCTCCGAGTTTGTTTAGACTGTCATACTGTAACTAAATTTATATCTAAGATCACGGAGAGAGTGATTGTGGTCAGGGATGCTAATAGGTTCCATCATTTCAAAAATGGTATTTGTTCATGTGGAGACTATTGGTGAAGATAACACTCCCATGGTAGTTAAGATTATTGGATAGGGGGAATGTATAACTTATTTTGGGAAGCCATAAAAGCCAAAAGCCATTGGCTAACATGTATGAGATTTAAAATGACATTATTAATAATAGGTATAATGATGATTTTTGAAAGAATTTGAAATAAATCAGTAGAATTGTTTGAAATATATTGACATGCTGTGGCACATTGACCTCCATCCATTTTATTTTCCATATTTTTTATTCATATGAATCCTTGACATTTTGGAAGCTGTACAGATTTGTGCTAGGAACCAAATAGCTCAAATATATTGAAAGATAAAAGCATCAAGGGACTACAATAATCTCCAGTAATTCGACCCTCTTCTCTTGAGATCATTGAAGCTTAAATCACAAACAATTGGCTACCTTTATCCTTTTTCCCTCACTCTATTTTTAACCAACTAATTCCTTAATTAATTATTAATATAATATTATTACCCCATCAATAACCCTAATTACCCCAAAGGCATTCCTATCAGTTTGCTCCATGATTTCATTCATACAACCTATGCACATCTTTGTTTTCAATATCAAACATCTAACTGAAAAGTGTACTTCCATCTGGTAGATTCAGACTTCAGCTATGTTTTCTCAAACATGAACATCAGAAATGTAGAATATTAACTTGATGTGCTGTAGGTACATAGTTCTTTCACACTCAATGCATGGCTATGTATTATCTTGCTTCAGAAGCTGAGTGAATCCAGTAGTAGTTATTTGGGAAGAAGCAATGGTCTTGGCTAGAGACAGCAGTTTTTTAGTGTTCTGGACATGAATTCTTGGCAACGTTTGTATGCATTATTGATATTTGTTTCCTTCTGTATTTATATTTTTGGACTCACTGGAGGTCTTTTTGTTGCATCTGTGAATAAAGTTCAAAAGAATGCGTCTTTTAGAATATTAATCATTGAGGTATTATGCTGTATTTGGCTGAATTGAAAATTGCTTATATGTGTGTGTGTATTTCTTTTTTTACCTGACATTTCATTTTCTTCTTTTACCTGAAGCTATCTATCTTCTTACTGGATCTTTCATGTCAGGTACTCTCAGTTTTGATTTTTATGATGTTTAAAGTTTTTCAGTGGACAGGGTGTTGAAGGTACACCATTGTAATTGTCTAGATGAAACCTCTGTTCTGTGTACATAAACTGAAATAAACATATTTTCTTCATTGTTCTCAAAACTAGGCATGTCGTAATCACACTACACAAAAAATTTCACTCTTGCTTTTATTCATTCTGGTGCTTCCCATTCTTCTAGTCCACATAATCTGTATGCAATGTCCAGAACGCATATGAACCTCCTGGCTATGCACATGAATCTTCTGGTGATGCACACATCAAATAACAAGAAAGAGAGGCAAGCCTTTCAGCAATTTAGTCCACATTTCTTAGTGTCAGGCCCCTTTGTTTTCATCACAAATGGATCAATTCGGACCCAAAGCAAGGAGAAGATCGAAGCTAACAGCACGGACCATATGACAACAATAGTTGGTGTGCGGTTTTGTCTGCCCATCAGACCTTTAAGGAATGGATAGAGATGGACAATCACCCAGAAGGCGAAGAAAAGCTTACCAAACAGAGGTCCCCATGATTGATAGCCATTGTTTATGGCATCTGAGATGCCTGCAACGACCCCAACAAGGTTGATGATCAAAATAGTTGTTGGAGGGATTAACAGAGTGGTCCATTTGAAGGCATATAATTCTCCAAAGTCCTCATCATCTGTTGCTTTGGATGTAACCGTGAAGCTAGTATCAATTCCAGCCAAAACCTTCAACAGACCTTGTACAACAGCAAATAGATGAGCTGAAATACCACCAATCACCCAAAACTGCTCATTTCTCCACCATTCCTCAATGCTAACTCCACTCCATTTAAGCTCAAGAATACCCGTAGCAAAAATGGAAAGAAACAAGGCAATGAAGAAGAGACTTGCAAAAGTGCTTATCTGGTTGTCAAAAAGATAATAATTTCGTCAGTGGATGATGCAAAATATCTTGCCAAAAGCTATGGAGAAAAATAAAAGGTTAGTTATAATCTTAAAATGTATATCTTATAAGATAATTAGAGTTTACTGTGGCTACTGATTTAGTTACGTTTATTCTTCCCTAATATTTTCTTCTTAAATCATCTTTTGTAGGTGATAATGTAAATAGCACTATATTTACCGGGGGCATGATAAACTTATCCGTGAGCAGGCAGATTGCAGGGAGGGTACAGTAGGCGAGAAGTGGTATTGAAGTGAAGGGGTAGACAGTTGTGTTAACATATGCAAATCTCTCGAGCCACTTTAGCTTTCCACCCTTATAACCATACCAAACAGGGCAGTGGTTACTGAAAAAAATTTCAATAGATCCGAGAGCCCACCGAAGCACCTGGTTTAGCCGATCAGACAAGTTGATGGGAGCTGTACCCTTAAATGCAGGTCTCTTTGGCATGCAGTATATGGATCTCCAGCCACGGCAATGCATCTTGAAACCTGTTAGAATATCCTCTGTGATGGATCCATAAATCCAGCCCAACTGCACACACCAACATGACACTAGTTTAAGTTCCAAGTCTGCTCATCTCTAGACCTTTATTTGTTATTAACTTTTTGTTTGATTTAGGTGTTAGCATGTCAATAGTGAAAGGAAGAAGAAAATTGTGTTTAAATGTTTTCTGAAGTAAGAATTTTTGACATTACCTCGGTACCCCATTCAGTTTTGTCTTCATAACCACAACTGATAACGTGAATTGCTTCCTTAAGCAGGGCTGCTGGACTTGAGGAGGGAGGAACACCACCTTCTTCCATCAAAGTTGAGGTAACAAAAATTGACGACTGTCCAAATTTCTTTTCAAAATTCATTTGAGACATTAATAGCTCTTTGTCGCCGTCCATCCCTACTCATATAGTAGCAAAAGATTAACTATCAGCTATCACAATCTGATGGCAAAGTATGTACCAGTACCAACAAAGATTGGAGTTTTAGAAATGTAGACTCACCTGCAGCATCTCCATCTACTCCACTTTTAAGCTTCTTGCGACGTCCAAAGCATGGACAACAGTCGCAGCTTACCATTTTTGGGCGTTTGGGACCTTTCGGAGGGTCATAACCATATAAAGCCTGCCTCCTGAAAACACAACCTGTGCCGACATACACAGGGCCCTGAATTCCATCTAAACCTCTCATGTTAATCTGCATCACAAAGAAACATAGTATAGTTTAATTTTACAATTTTTTTAGCTTAGTCATTGAAACAAGTGTATACAAATTTCCAAGATGGGGTCTTTACATCAAAGAAGACTGTGTTCCTGTTGGCATAACGATCGTGCCTATCTATACCATCAAATCTTTGTGGAAATTGAACATAACAGACTTTCTTTCCAACTTGAGGGTCCATAAGGAAGCACATGGCCTCTCGTGCTGCTTTGCTATTGTTTATGTAGTGATCACAATCCAAGTTCAACATGAATGGAGCATTTGTAAGCACGGCCGAGACACGAATCTACAATTGTGCAAAAATGTATTAGAAAAAAGAAAAGGAACAAAGTGAGGTCAAAATAGAGGGAAACTTGGACTGAGCAAGTTACCAAGGCATTCATGGCACCAGCTTTCTTGTGATGTTGGAAACCTGGTCTTTTCTCACGAGATACATAAACTAGGCGGGGGAGTTCATTTCCTTCAGCATCAAGTCCTCCACTATGACCCAGAAAGACTTGGATCATACCGGGATGATCCTTTGTATTGTTTCCTGGCCATGGTGTTCCATCTTGCATTATCCATCCTTCTGTGGGAACTTTCACTGCTTTTGCTACTTGAGCATTTATCCTGACCTTGAATTCTTCATATTCTCTCTACATGCACCAAAGATATTGCAATATTGATATTATTAAGCACATATTGTAAAACTCTTTCTGTGTAATTGTTATAAAGTGCATACCTTCATTGCTCGACGTTCTTTTACAAAGGTTGGTTGGACTTTGTCCTTTAGATAATCAATCTTCTCACAGAAGTACATTTCAGGTGCTCGTGGTTCTATGGAAAACTTCTTACAGAAGGGTACCCATTTCCTGGCAAATTCTGCAGTTTCAGACATTGCTTCAAAGGTAAGCATGGAAGCTCCATCATCTGAAACGTAGCATGAAATCTTATCAACTGGGTAGTCCATGGCCAAGATAGATAAGATTGTGTTGGCTGTTACAAGAGGAGGTTCCTTCATTGGATCCACAGTACTGACAAAGATGTCCACTGGAGCAAGCAAATTAGGTTCACCCTCTGGTTCATACCTACATTAAAATATCCATATGATCATTGATTCTAGATTTTAACACATGTTCAATTAACATAGTTTTTTTTCCTGGTATTTTTAATGCTATTCTGGGATTGGTATTACCTAAGGGATAGGCGATCCAAGTAGGTTTCACGATCGATAGGGAACCATTTGGGAAACTGATCGAGGATCCATGAAAATGCAAACCAGATCTCACATATCACAGAAGTTAGCCACAAACCCAATGCATCATGCACTGGATTTAGTATCCGATATCGAAGGAAGAAGGCAAGAATAACGAGCCGAGCCACAATAACCATCCGGTAAGGATTAATTTTGCTGGATGCTATTGGTACCTTCCTTGACAGTGGCTGTCTAGCTGCATCAATCCTGCAACAGTTGGCAAGTAAATTTATACATGGATTTCCTCCATTGAAAGTATTAAATGTGTGAATAAGAAAGATGGAAGTTTTCGAGCATACATTGCCATGTCAGGGTCATTGGCATCATCAGGTTCAGGCCCAAGATTGCCTTGCTGCAATTTCCAATCATCCATTCTATCTTTCCAACCTTCCTCTCTCTTTTCATCCCATCTTGCACTCCCTGATTTTTGGAAAACATATTAGATATGGTACGATAGCAAAACTTCATGTGGCTTAGAAGAGATAGAGATCAAAATCTTCCTCAGTTTGATGCAAAAACAATGGGAGGAATGAGTAGAAATTTACCTGGTTCAGAAACTGGATAAGGATGCACACGTTTGTGCAGTGAAGAAGATAACATCTGATCTCCATAACCTTGAGATGATAAAGGAAGCTCACCATTTGCCTGTATATGCAACAGATGCTTGTTTGTAATTCCAACATTATAAACTAGGAAAATTTTTTCCAGACCAATAGAAATTTTGCATACTCACTGGCTGTGTTCTTCCGGCAATAACAGGTGGAAACTGTGAATTTTCATCATCATCTGGACCTCTACCATAGCTCATCTTGCCATGAAGCATAGCTTCTGCCATATGATTGTGATTGTTCCTCTCATCATCAATGTTGAACTCATGTTCGATGTCATCTATGTCCTCTTCATCGTCATCTCCCTCCACCCTCGGACTCCCTTCACGACACCCAAAAGGAGAAGAAAGTTGAGGAAAAAAGAAAAGGTGTTCGTTTTCTTTCAAAATAGAAATGAAATTGTGTTCAAATAATCAAATATGTTATAGTTAAATGATCTATCCATCGCATGTAGGCTTTAAGGTCATCACAGCATAACCATCGGGGTAGAGTAGGAACCCAATAGATCGAATGGAACGATACAAAACCAAGTAAATTCATTTGTTGTGTGTCTTACCTTTGAGTCGCTTATATCTAGTTTTACACTGAGGACACAGTTGGCTTCCTTCTCTTCTTTCATACTCATAGCAAGGTCTGCAGACTGGAAAACCACATTCATTACAGGCAACAAACAGATCACCATCCACAGTAAGCCCCACTTCATCACCACAGATCTCACACACTTGACCATCCAAGTTCTTCAACGGCTTGGGCTGCAGAACAAGAAACCAATTACACAAATACACAAAACCATTGAAACCATTGAAACCAAAACAAAAACCTTCTCCCACTGCACATTTTGGTTAAGCTTATCACCTCCTCATGGCCATGAATGACAACAAGCTCATTGCGGTTGTGAGACCCGGCAACAAGGCCGGCGCTGGCTTCCATGGCTGGCAATCAGCACAGGGGGAGGACTCAGATGTTTAGTGAAGGATGAGAGTTTGGAGGAAGGAATGTGTTTTATGAAGGGGATAGGTAGAGGAGGATGGGCTGAGCTATTCAGTTGTCTTCTTCAGCTAATGCGTCCACGTAATGGGTGGTGAGTTGGTTGCTGTGTCAGAGTCCCCTCTTGCCTTGAAGTTAAGCTTCCTCTCCTTCTTCTTTTGCTTTCATTCCTTCATTCTCTCTTTCTTTTGAATACTTACTCTTTATTAATCATGTGTTCTGATCTCAAAAGCTTTGTCTATAAAGTTCCATAATTGATTGATTCATTGTAAGCTAAAGTTTATAAAGGTCATTATTAACCCTATGGTTTCTAACTATAGACATGTGTATATCGTTTCAATGAAGTTGGATTTTGTAGGATTGATCAAATTCCCTTGTAAGTTGTGATTATTATCTTTACAAGAGGCTCCTAATGTAGGAATAAGTGTGTTTATATTAACATGTATAAACCGAGTCTTGCCTTGTTTGTATGAATATTTCATTGAATTTGAATTAAGAAGCAAAATTTTGACATAAGTGAAGAGAATGGGAAGGTGAAAAAGGGACCAAAGCTGTGAAAGGAGTATGCTTAGAATGCAAGAAGTTGAAAACTTATAACTCAAAACAACTTCAAATCGTTAGGTAAGGAAGTTGTAGTCTCCCAATCTGTCCTTTGACTCATCAACTTCTCCTAATCTTCCTTCCACACTTCTAAATTTTTTTAATCCAAAATTTTTGGCTTTCCTTCTCAAAATTGTTCTATACTTTTTCGAAAGATACATGCCGGGTCAATTTATTTGTAGCAAATATTTTTAGGGGAAGATATATGCTAGTTCAATTTATATATTTTTCAATATGTCAGTTCAATTTCTCGTGAAAGATATATACCAATTTCATAATTCAATTTATTTGTATATTGAATTATATGTACCAATTTTTTAATTCAATTTATTTGTAGCAAATATCTTTGATTTATATGCGACTTCAATTTCTTCAGTTTCTTAATTCAATTTATTTGTAGTAAGTTTCGAAGTTTTTCAGAAAATCGTGAAAGATATTATACCAATCCAATTTTTTCGAGAGACCTATATGTCAATTCAATTTTTCGAGAGAGCTATATTACAATTCAATTTATTTGTTGCGATAGTAAGGTGATCAATCCTTTTAAAATTGTTGTTATTTAGACACAATTTTTTAAAAATTATTATTATTCAGATCCCTATTTAATAAAACAAAACTAATTTTTAAAAATAAAAAACAAAAAATAATTTGTAGAAATTATAAAACGGACTCGTTATATTATATGTTTGTGTGAAATCTAAGTGGGTCCCCCATTTCCTGAGGAAGGATGATGATGATTGATGGGACAAGACAACCGAATAATTTCGGTTCTATTAATTTTTTTACAAACCCACAACATTTGGGTAACGTGTCTCGTTTTCTCAAAAGATTGATGCTTGATGAAACAACCGGAGAATTCTACCTCGTTTATCCATTAAATTCTACGAAGAAACCCTACAGATTTTATTACAAAGTTGTTCAAACATACATCACTACCCTTTTTTCTTAGCCCAAAAAGAGGGAGAAAAGGAAA